ATATTATAGAAGTGATTCTGGGTCCTTCTTGGTGCATTATATTGAGAGGCACGTGATATTGGTTGACCAATTAACGCTGATGAACTTAATCAGTTGGTTATGGTGGGTTATGGAATCCCGGACTTATAAACTCACCAAATCAGTCTCTTCCCTCTCTGGGTCTCAGTTTCCCTTTCTGTAAAATGGAGGTTTGGCTTACACGAGGGTCTGCAAACACACCTACAGAGCAGATATGTTCTGTTTAGCTCTCACATTCTTACGATTGTTCTTTGGAAAGTTACCAACATTTAGGATTTGGCAGATGTTGTACACGCATCTGGAAGAGATGTTCTCTGACTGTCTGGGTTTACCTGGGGTGGAGAGAACAAGTGAAACTTTGCAAAAGGGGTTAGGGCCCCCAAGGACTGCATTGAAGGTATGATTTCTGGTGTTAGAGCTGAAAAGCCAGGACCGGAAAGCTAGGACTGTCACCCATGACGCGTCTTGGTGGCTGAGGGGTGAGCGCTTTATTCTGCGAGGGCTGGGGGACTGCAGACCCCATGTAGGCCCCCCTCCCTCTCCGTGGAGTCTGCCTTTCCCCAGAGAAAGGGGAAAGAGTGTGGAAAGACACGTGCCCGGTCCCAAGGTCTGCTATGCTGAGAGGGGATTTCCACGTGTGGACAAGACAGATCCTTTGTTTTAGAGAAGTAGCTTACCAAGGTCAGCGCTGGGTTCAACTCTTGAACCTGGGGACGATTTTCTCACACACGAAGAGAAACATCACCCACAGCCTAGACCCGCAGGCACAAGAAGACTCCCAACATACACCCCAGGCTGGTGATGGGCCAGGTCCTGTGCCAAGTGCCTGACACTCACACTCTCATGAAATCTTCAGTAACCCATCAACCCTGAGCGGTGGAGGTTATTTCCATTTTACAGATGAAGACATTGAGGCTCAGAGTGGTGAAGTCACTTCATACAGGGACATTCAGTCATTTGGTGGCAGAGCCCTGGTTGTGACAGATACACCTGACGCTCCTCAGTAACCCTCCTTTCCTCTTCCTTTTGTAAAAGAGCCTCTGAATTTTAGCTAGACACATGCTGTCCAGATAAAACTACACATCCCAGCTTCCCTTGTGATAGGTGTGGCCATGTGACTAAATTCTAGCCAATAGGATATGATGTGTATGCCTTCTGGGAAGGGTGTGGGCACACACTTGACTCTTTTTTTCTTCTTCCCAATGATTGGAATGTGGATATGATGGTGGGAGCTGGAGCATCCACCTCGGACCACATGATGGAATTGTGAGGTAAGAACAGCAGAGCAACAAGGTGGAAGGAGCCTGGGTCTCTGACGTCCTCAAGCTTATCACAACTAGACCTGTACATGAGAGAACAACAGACTTCCACCTTATTTAAGCTACTATGTATTTTGGTTTTTCTTACAACAGTGAAATGAAAAAATCTAGTTTATACACATATGTAGGCTAGGATCTCATTGTCCCATTTCTCCAGCAGGACAAAGAATGGGTGCCATCATCTCTACTTTGTTTCCTCTTCCCTGAAAACCAATTTTGAGATGATAACAACAGCAATTCCCAGTAATCAAGTTCTTACTCAGCCCCATGGCCTGTAACGAGCACTGCACACAATTCATTCACATTCAATCCTCAGAGCAACGCTGCACGGTGGACTGTGTTATCGTGTCCTCATTTTTACGGATGAGGAAACTGGCGCTCAGGACCATGACGTCATTTGAACAAGGTCATATTACGCAGCCAGGAAATGGAAGTGCAGCTCTCCAACTCAGTTCTGACTCCAGGGTCTGTGCTATGAATGACACAGACACCTGTTATCCTGCCTCCTTTCCGGGAGCACACGCCTGTGCATATGGCCGCATCTTTGCACGCACACCTAGAATGCTAGAATGCTAGACAGGCAACTTACCCACGAGGTAAGAGAGCCCAGAGATTATGAGCGTGGCCTTTGGAAGTGGCAGATCTGGGTTCGGACAGACGACTTGCTGTCTCTCTCTGAGCCTCAGTGTTCTCATCTGGAATATGGGGCCATCACAGCCAATAAACGGCTGCTAATATTTGGGTGTCTGTTCACATCCTCAAATCGGTCACACTGTGTGACAGGGGACCAGACTCAGCCACAAAGAATGACAGCTACCATGATACAGGGGGGTGTGGGTGAGGGCTCACTCATTGTGCCACCACTTCCCAAGGGTCTGCTCCGTGTCAGGCAGGGTGCTGGCCGCTGCGGGGAGGGCAGCAGTGAGCGAGGCCAGAGCTCAGGGTCTGCTGGAGAGACAGTTGCTGCCCAGGACGTTGAACAATGGCAGGATTATCACATGGGATGTTCTCCCACGCGGCTGCTTGCAGAGACCAACGGTCACCCGCTGCAGCAGGCTGAATGGTGTCTCTCTCTCCAAAAATATATGTCCATGCTCTAACCTCCAGACCTGTAAATATGACCTTATTTGAAAAAAGGGTCTTTGCAGATGCTATTAATAGCTAAGGATCT